CACCCGAAGACTGGGGTTGGATTCTCCAGAATGGGAAATACATGTACGTTCCAAGGCTCAGCGACAGAAAACCTGCACCAACAGAACTACTAGAGGTCATGAAATGTGGACGCAAGACAGACTGAAGATGTAGCTGCAAACACTCCGGGATTGAATGTACAGGCGCATGTCTTGTATGCCATGGTACAACATGCAGCAATTCATCACATTCAGCTATTGATCTTGAAGCAGGAGATTAAACTAAAGGAACCTCCATCATCATATCAACGTTTGAACACATTTAAATGACAGCCACTTTGGACTTATATTGGTATCAGTTCTGAGGAAAATGCTTTTCAACATTTCCAGTGACACAAATGTAATCTGAAACATCGGAAATATGGATAAAGGTAACAAAGTTCTTAACCAGTTAATCTGCTATCTTCTAATATTATAAAAAATCCATTAAAATGGTCGCCATTAGGATTTATGCAAATTAGGCACGTACCAAATGTCCAGCAAGACTTTTACTGTAAGAATTGTACTCAGAGACCTTGAAAACATGGGCATAGACACCAAAATTAGTCTCCTGCAAGTCTCATATCTTAAGATATGGTCAATACTCTGTCAAAATGGTGGCCATTTTGAATTTATGCAAATTAGGCATATTTCTGCAACTCGGATTTGCTCGGACTTTTTCTGGTCATTTTGGGTACACAACATAAATGCATTCTGAAGAAAAACCTTTGATAGCAATTAGTTCTAGGTTAAATGCTAATTTTCTTGGACTATATGTGGTCAACCAGCACTCACTCGGACAACCACAAATATGCACTGTTGTTGAGCTACATACACGTACCTGCATTAAAAAACTTGTCAGGCGGAAAGACAGAGCTGACATGCAACGACCTTTGTTGTTTGTGTTGGCCAAATGTTTAAACAGCAAATTGAAATTTGCTGAACGTTAAGCAAATTAAACATAAACTCTGACCCTTATTATGGGGCGAGAAATTACATACTGGAGCCGGATAAAAATAATCTAAGTCCTGTAAAACGTTCTTCAGTCTGGGATAAAATATTCTAAGTTTTAAGAACATTCTGTGGAAAATATTGAGTCTGGTGAAACTTTTCTTGAATCTGGAAAAATAATTTGAAAACAGGGATAAATATGGGGTGGGAAAATATTCTGATGCCAGGAAAAATTAATGAGTCCAGTTAAATATTATTGAGTCCAGCACCCAATATTTTGAATCAATGAGAAAAATAGTCCAAGAAAAGTATTCCAAGTCCAGAGAAAATATTGGGAGTCTGGTGAAACATTTTTTAAAGTCTGTGAAAAATGTCTGTGGCCGGGAAAACAACTAAAGGGGAGGACAAAATTTACATGTACATGCATTGAGCTCTGTAAAATATTCTTGAGTGCTGGGATAAAATATTCTGAGTATTAAGAAAGTATTCTGAGTCCAGCCAAAGCTTTGAGTCTTGCGGACAATAGTGATAGTCTGATAAAACATAAGTTCTGACACAAGCAGGGAAAAATATCATGGGGGGAAAAATATTCCATGGCCTGAGAATTTTCGTTTTAGATATTCCTGGGTCCAGAATATAATATTCTGAGTCTTTGGAAAATATGCTGAGTCTGGGAAAAACAGTTTGAGTTTCTAAGTGTGAGAAAACACTCAATAAAGGCTAGAAAGAAAATGGAGCCCAGGAGAAATATTCCGAGGAATAAATTTCAGCATGGCCAAAACTAATACCCGATGAATATATTCGGGCCCTTTGGTAATAATAATAATGCTTCTAATGTGCATTTTCGCAAGTTACCATGAGCTAATGTGAGGAAAACAGATGAGTTTTCAGTCTACCCCTAAATTGGTCAAAGGAACTGATGCTGCAGATGTTTAAATGGTTTTGTCAGATCAAAAGCGCCAACTACAGTAAGGGAACAACAATTGATGTGACTGTGACTGCAGAATTTCGTGTCCAGCCAATGACTGACACTGCCTTTAATAGCTGATAAGAGGGGTATCTGCCTTCAACGATTACAACCAATAATAATTAAGAATGTGTACGGCTAACATTTCGACTGGTTTCTGGTTTTCTTGTTTATGTCTTGGCAATTGGTATGTTGATAGTTGAGCGTGGAGGATCAGGAGGGAGGTTGATGAATGTGGTTCCATAAGCTGGGTGGGCCGTTAAAAGTGTACACAGATGCCAGGCGGCAGGCCTCCTTTATGAATACAGAAATAATACACAGTGACAGAAATATGTTTGGAGATTGGGCCTTCTGCATCAACTGTTGAGCCAAAAAGCCTTCTTGTAAGTGGACAATCCTGACAACTCTACGATTTTGTTTAACCTGTTTGACAAAATTCAAAGGTGCTTTTTTTCAACAGAATGCAAAAGCCTTTAATAATGAAAATTGCCAGCATCAGATGAGTGTCTGTAATTCTGTCGGCACACCGCGGCTGCCTACAAGTACCAAGAATGTAGTCACCTGTGAAAACATCATGCAAATCTGTACCCTTTGTTATGCAGGATCACTAAGTAGGTCGGCGGCGCCGAGGGTTACCCAGCCGGGGCGCCCACCCTCAGCACTGTGCGGCGCGCCAATTAAAATCTTTTTGACATTGTGCCTTTAGGAGTACTTCAAATGTATCTGTGTGACTTGAGTTCAAATCCCAACCAGGCCAACCATGTGGAAGGTGTTTCAAGTCCAAGCTGGCTACCGCACATTTCGTAAGAAACCTTTACCTTCAACACCAGAAATCAAGTAAGAGTGGCATTGTCTTTACCTGTCTTTGTTTAATATCAGCACTGTCGAAATGCCCCCTGGCTAACAGTCCGCTGCTGAGGCTAGCCAAGGTGTCGATGGTCTTCTGGAAACTCTCCAAGTCCAGGTCCAGGGCGTCCAGCTTCTTCAGCAGGGATGCCACGGAGTCCTCGTCCTTCCCGTAGTCAGGACTTGTCAGAAGGGGGCGCTTCTCCTTCATCCAGGATTCCGCCTCGCTGACCTCAGAGTAGAACTGTTTCAGGAACAAGTTGAGCCAAAAAAGAGGTATTTGACTTGAACAGGATTCCAAGCACCAACCCATAGAACACGGTGTACCAGAGCTCTACCAAAATGAGCTGTCCAGCTCTAGGTTGATATCTTTAACTGCTTTCAGGATAAAGTTGATGGGTGTTTAAGTTTGCTGTGCTTTCTGGTCACAATGATGTACATGTAGATTTGCAGCAAGGCAATGTCTGAATTAATTTGAATGGCAATTATGGAGTCCATTTTTTTACTCTGTGGATTTCTGAGAAGCCAAAAAGCTACAAAGCTAGGGTAGAAAATATACACGCTGAACACATTTAAGGCTAAATAAAATGATCAAAAGCTTCCACGGTCACATATGCATCGTCTCGTTCAGAACTGAAATCTATGTCCATGATTTTTAAATAAGTAAAGAGAAGAAGCCTATCTTTAGCCACTTTTGGTGCGAGAGTTACACGTACAAAAAAACGAACCAAGTTTGCACCCTGTGTATCCATCAAAGTTTGCCATTCAAAGAAGCACTAGCTTAAGACAGTTTGGTGATCAAGCCCGGAAGCTTCCACCATTCTACCTGCCGTATTCGGTCCGAAGCATCTGGGATAAGCACACCAACTGTGTGTTTCTAAACATCTTTGATCCACTGAGGTCTCATGACAATTGCTATGATGCACCCGATAATCTACAAAAATGTTTCAACTGTGAACGTTGCCTTCAATAGATCATTCAAGTCCTTTCCGTTCACTGATTTCCTGTGTGTGCATTTACGCATATGTAACACATCTGCGCACATTGTGAGGAAGTTGGAGGATTCAAATGTTAGTCTTTGGTCTTTCCACTTAAAACATCAAGTCACTGATTTAATATCACTTCAAATACAGTCCCTGAAAATGCAGCTGGACTCAAACAAGGACCTGAACACATTAGTAACTGATGAAGTGTGCAGTCACATGTTCCCCCAGGATCAGCCACAGCACATCTTTCTCCACCTACCGTCTGCGACTCTAAGGCATCTAGCAGCTTCCTCTTCCGGTCTCCCGCTACCTCCTGCAGCTGGTACCACATTGCCTGGAGCTGGCTGAGCTCCACGTTGATGTCCTCTAGGGCGTAATGGTTCCCTTGTATCAGCTGCTTGCCCGTCAATACCACCGCGCTAATGAGCGGCTCGTGGGCAGTCAGCTCGGCTTCTAGCGCCTGAGGTTGGAGAGAATGTTGAATACATGCATACTATGATCATAAGGAATGGCGCAACAGTGAGGTTTATAATAATGTTCACTATACAGGTTTCTCAGCCAGGCAAATCCACACGTATAAACCAAATGCACTATTTAACCCTTTGACTGCTATGCGTCAGGCTGACGCCCTTCCAAAAGAACACAACTACTTCAAGAGAAGGTACAGACAATCAAATTCATACATTCACAACAGAGGGCTCCAAGGAACCGATTATGAAAAATTAACTAGTGCCATGAACAAATATAAACACAAAAGGTGCCATTGTAAGTGTACCTGTAACCCAGCAAATAACTACATGTATTTCTACTTCTGCCAACCCAAACAGCTCTAACTTCAAGGGTGGATTGGGAGGGTGGGGGTAACAAGGCCCATGGCCACCAACAAGGAGCCCAAACTTTTGTTTGGAAATACAACGAAAGGTGATTTTTTGGTCTATTTCATTTCCCTCTCTTGCAAATGTGAAATAAAAGCCCCCAAATTAAGCCCCACCCCTCAGGTCACACAAGATACATGATTTTTCAAATTCTCCCCCACCCTTAACTCTTCTGAACCCACCCTTAACCACTTCCTGCTGGGGATTCCGGATCAGGACACTTATGCTTTATATACGTGGTCGGGGTCTCCGAACTCGGACAAAAGGAACAGGGCCTTGTAACAAAAGACCGTACTCGGAAAAAAAAACAGGCTGCTGGGCATTACCAACATTTTTTCACGCCCAAAAGTGGAGATAATCCAGCCTTGTTTTGATACAGTATACCATGGTTTGGGGCATTTAGAGCGAGCGGGTGGATTACCACCGGGGACAAAAGGGGACACCACCGCAGTGATCAGCCACACAGCACTGCTGCATGCTAATCTGGCCCCTATTGAAAAGAGGTCAGCAGCGCACTGAGCCAGGTTCGTGAACAAAAGAAAGTTATATAACACCGTACAATCTGGGCTCTTTTTACAAGGCTGCAGGCCGGGTGGAAATACTCCAGCGTCGATAGATGTTGTTTATCAGGATAGAGTGGACACCAGACAGTCCTTCATGTGTTTGTAAGCATCCAGTAAGTGAAGATAGGAATTTTTAAAGAATTTTGAAAACAGAAAAAAATGATAATTATCCCGCACCAGCATCATCAACATTGACAACTGCCCCCGGAAACAAGTGGTTAACCTCACTTTTCAGTCAATGGCCTAGTAACCCCCACCCCACACAAAGACCCTTTTATGATAACAAGCCAAGGGGGCCAGACAATACCAGCCGCCACCCACCTGGTGTTTCTTGTAGAGGCTCTGCACAGCATGCAGGCTTGTGCCCAGGTCGTCGGAAGCCACCCAGGGTTGCTTCTGGTCGATCCAGGACACCTCGTCCTCCACGTCCCGGTGGAACTGGTACAGCCGGTGAGCATCCTCCAGGTTGCCCCGCCGCAGGTTCAGCGGTTCTCTCAGAGCTTCGTATCTGGTGACATAGGGCATAACTACCATAAAAACCCTCAAGTGCTAAAATGACGGGGAAAATATGTCAAATTCCGTACTGCAGGGGATATTTGATCAGTTGTTAGTCCACAAAACAGTGCATGTTGGACTGACCATCTATAATGGTCTGTTTCTTTTAATTACATTTCTCCTCCATCTATGGGGGAAAAATGCACAAGCCTGTTGCAGTAACCACAGCCAAGACACAAATGCCCAAATGGTCGCCATGACAACTACCATCAAATCAACCTCATCAACAAACACTGCCGTTGCCAGCATTGACCCGTCTTAATTTTGCCACTGACCGGACTACGATCTGATCCGTTTTCGTCGTGAGTTCCTCACTCAGGAAGTGGTTGGCTTCTCGGAAGGAGTCTGCCATGGTCTTGGCATCGGTCACTTTCTCCTCATGGGCATTCATCTGTGCCTCCATGACCTGTGAACAAAATGAACAGGTGTCATTCATGTCATGCCATGTTTTACCAAAAAGAAGTCAACAAAAATAACTATATTTTCTATTACACTGAAAAAAAATTGGGTGGGTCTATTTTACTTAAAATATATCAAGCTTGACTGATGCTCAAGTAAGTATTGTTTTCGGATCTGTAAACGATGTCAGATGTAATATGTTCATGTTAATGCATAACCAATTTTTCACGCCTTAAAAAAACAAATATACTTCCGCCATCTCCCCCAAAAGTTAACACACGAGTGATGATATGGAGTTGTCACCTTAAGTTTTCAATCTATAGGCATTTGCATGGCAGCCATCTTTCAGTTCCGTGCTTTTGTTCCACAGGGATACACATGAGTAAACTTTCTGTGCATTATCCCTCAATAATAAAAGCACCAACCTGAAAGATGGCTATCACGGAAAAACTGGTGCCATTTTCAAGGTTGAGTTGGGTAACCAGAGGCACATGAATTTTGTTTCGATTGACCAAACAGTGATACGCTAAATGGTATTAATTCATTCTGTTCACATTGAATACTCTTCATCTCGCCTGCCAATATTCAGCTTTGAATCATCTAGAACTAGACATGTCCCTCGACAGACAGCAGATGACCGGCCCAATTAACACAAAGTTCAGGCAACTATATCCTATTAGCTGATTCAATCTGCATGAGAAATGCACCAGTTGTACCATTCTACAGTCTGTAAACATTTTCAGCCGGTTTCTAATCAGCGGTCACCTACATATGCCAATTTGTGATGCTGTTGACATTTAACTGTATCTCATATGCCAGGAGACCAAAGACTTCTACATCCATTGGGCACAAAGATCAAACAATAGAAGAATGGAATACCAACAGAATGTTTCTTCAGCAGCTTGTCAACACATGTATTCTGAGAGACCAAACACTCCCCGACTACAAAGAGCGAGTGGCAAAAACGACCAGACTGCAAGGAAATGAAAGCTCTGAACTAAACAGGAACAAGGAGCAAATAGCTTATTGATATTATTTATATATTCAGATTGTAGACTTTAATGAACTCCAAGATCAAATACTCCCCAGGTCTGCAGTACGGAAGCCAGAGATCCCTAGACTCATCAGGCAACGAGAACCAAGGTATAAAGGGATTGAAAGGGTATTTGTAAGACATCTTGTTCATGCAGCTCAAGTTGTAAGCTTAACTTTATCTTGTGCCCTATGACAAAATAACCCTCCAACAGTCTAGTATACAGACTAAATACTCAAAAAACACCTAGCCAGACAGCAAGGATATCAACGACCTCTAAACCCATCAGGTACAAAGACCAAAAGGGGTAGAAAGTGTGAAGCACTCACAGAGTGTTTCTTGAGCAGCTTGTTGACGCTGCTCAGGTCCCTGCCGAGATCCTTGGAGGCCAGCTGGGACTCCATCTCTGTCAGCCAGGTCAGGAGGTCGTCCAGAGACCTATGGAACACCTGGGCCTGGTAGAATGACGAAAGACAGAGGTCCTCAAGACATATAACAGCATGGGCAATTGCTGATCTGAATATTGACACTTTATCACAGGACATGTTGAAGCATTTCGGTCTTATCAAAACCCAACATTAGCACTGTTTATCAATTTAACCCTAACAGTCCCAAATCCTCCGATTTCAACACGATTTTACATACACCCTAGGGGGTTAGGGTTAATACAGTTGCAGTCCATTTTGGTGTCATCTTTTTCATTTCAGAGGAGTCATGTTTCAGACTAGTCTGATATGAATTTGATGCTTTTCTTCTCCTCTTTGGCAATCCAGAATATCTCATATTTGGGTAATGCCAGAAATTAAGGGTCCATTTTTATTTCGTGTCCCTGGCACATCTGACATATGATTTTGTAAGTTCAGAACACATTTTCTAATTTCCAAGAGTGATGAATTAATGCAAACTACCTGCCAAACAAGTGGTAATAGTTTAAAATCAATTCCGGTGATATTTCCCTGTCAAAATAAAGGTCTGATGTAGCAGGGCCACGAAAATGTCACACTTTTGAACCCCTGGTTTCTGGAATTACCCATTTCTCTTCTCACTCAAATCAAAACTTGGGCTAATCCTTTCCAATCTCCAATGCAAATTCATCAGATGTAGAATATAGCTCTTCCGCATCTAAAATATTGGTCATCATAATGGAGAATGCAGCTCATCACAATCAATGTCTACCGAACAACTCATCACAATCTAGAAGACAGCTCATCCAAATTTAGAATATGGCCCATTCAATTGTGGAACATGGTTTGCCCTAAGTGAAACATATAGTCTCACCCTAATCTACATGTAAATAACCAGAGATGCTGGTGGCAATTTCTCACAAGGTCTGACACTGGAAAAGGGGCCACGATGCTTTTATGTTCAATACTTTCTGCATCTACGCAAAATTTATATAGTTGTTGGATTTCACAAGGTCTGATTTCAAACAGAAGTCTGACTAATTGTATGCATTGCAGCTCATTCCCAATAAAAAGCATACGCTATATACGCAAAGTTAGATTGTAATCTGACTTGGACAACTGTTGAATATTATTCATGTTAATCTAGGATTATGCCGGTAACCAACTGACAAGTACCTGGTAAGCATCATTGAGCAGATCTCGTTTCCTCATAGACGACGTTACCAGTTGCTGCCATTTTTCTTCCATGAGGGTGAGCTTCCCCTGGATGTCTTCAGCAGCAAAATGATTGGCACTGATCATTTCGGTGCCTTCCTGTATAAATGAACAATGCATAGTACACAATGGACCGACTGCCTTCTTCACGTCACATCAAACCCCTTCATTTGTGACCGAATAAAAATTAAAAACCTGTACCAATCAAGTGGTTAAGAACTGACAATTAACAGCAAAGAAAATAAATGACAACCTCAATACAAAGTATATATATATATATTTGAGACAGTTGTTTTGAAGGGAAGCCACAAAGAATTATACATGTCGGTAAGTTATCTGATCTCTCTAAAAACTGTTTGACATTTTGAACATTTATCTATGGAACAGCTGTTGCCACATATCAGTTTCTGCCAGTAGTCACTCAAGTCTTACAAATTCCCAATACTACAAACCAAAAGCCTAATCACGTTATTCAATTGCTGGTATTAAAAATGGTCGCACTGTCGGAAGCCCCAGATTCTAACGCAGCCTCACCTGAGTTATAGCATCGACCCTGTCTTTGTTGGCCATCAGCTCTGCCTCAAAGGCCTGGTGCTTCTGGATCTTGCCCTGCAGGTTGCTGGGATCTCGGTAGGCCTCGTCCTGGGCCACCTGCAGCTTCTCCCCAATCCAGGCCAGCATCTCGTAGATGCTCTGCAGGAACTGGTGCAGCTGTTTGGATTCATGGAGCCTGCGGTGGCGGGCATTGGCCTGGGCCCACAGTCGGTCACGCCTGCAATCAACAGTCGCATAATGACTATAATCTTAAGGTCACTCTACGAAGTTGGGTACACAACGTGTGACATTGGACACATTTCAGGCCGTGGTCTAAGTACTTGAATGTCTCAGAGTAAAGGTTGTAAGTCTTTCAAACATGGTGTTTCAGATTATTTCAATGATTTTTAGCAGAGTATCTATCAGAAAACGTAGTTTCACATGGAGGCTTGCAAATATCTGTTATGCTTCTCTAGTTGTGCCAAAGGAGTGTGCTCACTGAAATTGACAAGCACAGGAAATAACCCGCGCATGAAAGAATGAACGCAAAGTGTATACCACGCATCTGGACAGCAGGAAACTGCTCTCAAGAACTTGCGCTTGGGTAATCTTGCATCCAGTATGACAAGCGGAAGTCCAAAAAAAAAAAACAAGTGCACCTTTACCACACTCATTCCATCTAGTTAAATCCTGTGGTCAATTTCCTCACCTCCCCAAGACGTCACGGCACCTGTTGTTAATGTTCTTGATGTCGAAGTGGCTTCCCTGGACTAACTCGGACGCAAAGCTCTGTAGCTCCTCGATCTTCTCTGCTTGTGTCTGCAAAGTCTTCTCAAAGCCCTCATGCTTTTTGACAAGTGCATCAGCACTGGTCAATGAATCCTGTAATAAAAAAAAAAAACAGTAAATAAGACCGACATCAAGGATCACATTAAAAACCCACAGCATGGGCTCATTATGGTTCTATAGTGTACCTTTCAACATGAACCTACATGTAAGGTATCTATTCACAGGGATATGATCAATATTAGAGTGTTGTATGAAATTTTTAATGACACTGATGTTATCAACAATATCAATGATGAAAATCGAAGTTTTCTTTGTAACTTAACAGTAACCTTGTGTTTTTTTCCCTTTAGTGCATATTTTTGCTGCAATTTTTATGCTTTGCTATGAACTTGGGTAAATAAAGATATCAGCAGTGAACACATACTATACTGAAAGAAAATTAGTAAAGAAGTACGAAAGAAACACTGACCAAAAACAGTCTTTGAACCTGAAATCTTTGTAACACATATCCTTCTAAATAGAGATAACAATGCACGTGCCTGAATTTCTATTGCAAATCATCAGATAAATTACTTGGAAACTTGTGTACCTATTCACTTTCCCATTGTCTTTAATGACTCTGTTGCATGGATACTAGACAATAAAACTCACCCCAATGTCTTCATTGTGTAGGAATGCTTCTTTGGATGCCAACCACACCTCGGCCTGTTCAACATAGTCCTGAAACACCTGCGGGTTGTGAAGATCGAGTCCGAATATTAAAAGGGGGATCCAAAATGAGTACAGCCTTCTTCACTCATTGGCCGTGTATAACATCCACAATCCGTGCACACCACACTTACGTGTACTTGTCAATCTCTGAATACCAATTATCAGTGTAAGCTAAATACTGTGGGCCACCTACAAACTGTGCAGGCCAAACCTGCATGCGGAGATACAATACTTGACAACAGCAAGACACCATACTGGACAAGAGCAAGAGGTGAGCCCCTGACGCTCAGGTCAAAAGTAACCAAATCTGACCATTCAAATACGTGCCTTCCATCACCAATCAATCAGACGGCCAATTCTGTATGAAAATTGTCAACATGATGTTATTTTCTCCAAGTGCATCACCCAGCTTTGGTCTCCCAAGTTCATCCTTTTACCTCGAGCTGGTATGCTGGCCATGGATGGATGGTGAAAGACAAATTGTGCACACAAGTTTTACGATCGATGAGTGGAGGCTCTGTGCAAGACTGATCCCATGCTTGAACCTGCCCCTTGTGAGATCCATGGAAGTGCCTTTCATTTCAACTATATTAAAGGCCTTTTTCAAGAACTGTTCCATACTGCCATAACATTTTTTTCCATTCAAATTTTGAATGTAGAATCACTTGACGTCTATGCTTAGCCCCAAGCATGAGTAATTCTAAAGTGCCCCTTGGACTTCATTCTGGAAAGCTTCAAGGAGTTTTACGCGGTGCATCTTTAAGAGTGTCCGCAGCAACCTAATCCAAGATAGGCATCTTGGACGTCCAGATTGCGTATCCTTAACTTCCTGTAAATCGTCCATTTTCAAGTTACCTAAAAATTTGAAGCAGGAAGTCTTTTTTTCTAGCCCTTTCAGTATTTTCAGCTTATGGCCTCCAAGGGTTAATGGTCATCTGCTGTTTTTTGGAGTGTCACTTGTAATACCTGCAGATCAAAGCACTGGGCAAGGAGTCCTTTCCGTTCCTGCCAGACATGGACGACGTGGTCCTTGGTGTCCTGGAGACGTTTCAGGGAGGCCCGCAGCTCCTCCTTGGCGTAGTGGTCCTGCTGGATCAGCCTCTCCCCAAAGCCTCGTAGGTACTGGAACATGCCGTCCCTGCCGTCAATCTCCACCTGACAGCAAGGGAGCATACACAGACGTTAAGTTTGGCACCACGGATCCTATCCTTGACTTGGACCCAATGCCATGGATCAATTAAGTTTTCAATGAAGGGAAACTGCAGTCAAGTGGCAGAAATTTGACTGGGACACAATCATGGAAGTACAATGTTGTGCTATAACGATTTGACACAGCAATTTCCTAACAATGTGTGGTTGTTGTATCGATCCAATTCTAAAAGTGCAGATTTACAAAATGATCTTGACTATCTCAGCTTCTTTCTTTCCAGAAGAGCACATCACTAGCTATCTTCCTTACAGACTTAGAGTTAAAGATGAGGGAGTATCTCACAGAAGCATAGCAAAAACCTGACATTCAATAAATGGTCATCTTCTTTTCATATATCACATTCTAAACCTGTTTCTGAACACTGTTTGATACAATACGGGCATTTCACAATAGTGCGCCTCCAAGACTTTGCAACACGTTGACCAACCACAAAGCGCGAAATCTGTCGACTCAATGCGCATTTGCAAAGGGTCGACAGACTTCGCACACTGTGATTGGTCAACTGTCCAGGAGAAAAATGCTAATAGCAAACTGTGGGTAAGTAACCAGCTATATGCAATAGTAGAAAAATGATGATGTGAAACACTGCGCCCAGTTCCAAAACTTGCATAGGTTATTCTTATTCCAATCACTGAATTTCCACAGCATTTTGCCTGTGAACTTAAGCATGCTCTTCTCTGCACCACTAATGCTGTTACAGGGGCAACCTGGCAATCTGACAAATTCTCCGGTTTTTATCTGTGCCACAGCTGTTTACGGCTGCTCACTGAATTGAAAATCCATATATTTCTCAGTGTCCTTCACTGAGTTCCCAGGATTATGCTTGTTACCTTTCTCTCCTTGTGAAGCTCACACATGTTCTCTGCCTCAGGGACACTTTTGGCCAACTCCCCCGAGGTCATCCGAGTCACAATGTCACTGGCCCAATTATCCTGAGGAGAAAGAAAAAATGGGCCAATGCAATACTAGATTCCAGCTTTGCTCTGACAGTGACAGGTATACCAAACATCATTGACCAAAGCCCCTCTGATTTTGGACCAATCAAAACCATGTTTACTCAACTCAAGGTAATATCAAACATAATTCTGCTGCGCCAACCTACATATTGTTGTAGTTGAGTTCATACAAGTCCTTTCACGATGCCATTCACAAGATACTGGGTGAACAATGACAAAGGAGGAACGCTTTGGCCACAGGTTATTTGAACTGTGATGGGCATGCAGGGACGAAGTGATGAACTCAACTACAACACTGGTGTGACATGCATGCTTATCGTTTTTAGCTCGGCTGTAGCAGGCGTGGCTAAACTGATCCGTATTAAACCTGTGAAACAAGACAGTGTGATCTGAATGCTCGAGTAAAGGACTTTGACATAAGCTTGTGCGGAAAGGTCCACAAATTTGCTTAATGTCTCAACTGACAATTCCTGCTAGCACTTGTTAACATCCCCTTTATGTCTGTATGTACCTGTATCAGATTGTGTGCCTAATTTAGTACTAATACATTGAAAGTAAGGTCAGTCTATAAATTAGGGGTCCAATGTTTTTCATGTCCCTGTCACATCCGACATGATTAAGTTCAGAACACATTCTCTCATCTCCAAGAGCGATGAATTAATGCAAATTACCTGCCAAACAAATACAAATAGTTTAGAAAAATAGAAAATCAATTTCAGTGATATTTCCGTGTCAAATTACACAGGTCAGGTCAGGTCAGGGACACAAAAATGTCACACTTTTGGACCCTGATTTTACAGATTGACCCAGTGCTAAGTCCGAACAGCCCAATCTGCCAGCATGCTTCACAACAAACCACTTTTTACTGAGAAAGGTGAAAACAAGAGGTTTAAACCATGTACTGATCAACTATTCCAGATGTCGAGTTCTGAGGGAGACAAGATTGAGAGACTGGTTTACCATCTCCCTGAAGTCTTTGTTGAACTTCTGCAGGTTATAGGCAGCATCCAGCCGAGCTTGCCTGACTTTGGTCAGCTCCCTCAGGGCCTCCCATTTTTCGGCAGCTTCCCGTTGCTTAGTTTGTATCTCCTGGATGCTCTCTGGGCGGCTGGCTGACAGCCTCTCGGCCATGGCATCCACCTCCTTCAAGGTGTGCAAATAAAAATATCTGAACGGTGAATAATGGACTCCTACTATCTAGGAGCTCATGGAAGGAGCTTCTGTGAATCCTCCACTGTGAAGGAAATATAATGGTGCATTCTAACGACTCCAAAATGCACACATGTAAACTATGAGCCAGGAATGCTGGCTCACGGTCAAGCAAACAGCTGCAAAGTTTTCCCAGACAGCACATGATTTTGTTTCTTCCTGAAGACACATTACCGGAAGAAGTCTGATCAAGACCCGGAGTACCAGTACCTGGCTCATGGAGGTCGTCAGCCTCCTTTGAAAAGGCACTCACAAATACCTTACCTATTAAAGCCAACCTCCCTTGAAAAGGGTATCCACAAATACCTGTGACAGTTTGAGAAATCTGATTGGTCCACAAGACTGTCACATGGGTGGTTCTTAACAAATGATGAAACATAGCAGCGCTAAAACAAGGTTCCTGCATCTGGACAACACAAATTTGGCTCTTCATTACTTTTAAAGTTAGCGTCCTAGTGGTTGTAATGGACCCTACCAAACACTACAAGGCCCCTATCTAGTTTTAAAAGTACTAGTTTATTACCGGATTAAAATGAAATACCACTTTAAGGGCCAAAGCAAATTTTATAACAATGAAAGAAGGTACTACTGACCTGGAGTTTGTCCTCTATTGCCGTCAGGTCTTGGATCATGTCCTGGTGTCGTCTCTGTAGACTTTCCACACCAGGCAGATCCTTCCCTAGCTCCTCACTGCTCATGGCGTTAGCCTGAAAATAACAGGTGGGCACTTTCAAGTGTCAGGGTGAACCATATGTTCCCCTCATTTGAGGGGAACATATGGTTGTGCTCTAACATTTCAGATTGATCTCAGGGCTTATGATGAGGAAAATGTTTCACTGACAAGATGCATCCACTTATCATCCCTGGGAGAGATGGTCGAGGGGCAGGAGGTGCCCATCTTGGCATTTTCTGATATCATCACAATGCGATTTTTTGGGGGGTGGCCTAGCCTTCAGGAAAATTTCAAAGAAATGCCAGCCAAAAATGTCGACTTTTTTCAAAGACATGCTCAATACCTACTGCAAGCCGAAACAAGTGAGGGCGGGAGCTGTGAAAGATCGGATCAAAACCCAATGTTGGACTGAATTCAAACTAAACAGTTGTACTAATAATGAATGCCTTTATGTGCACGCCAAGCTCAACAAGATCAGGCATGAGAACAGCTGAGATCTGTGGGGCAGTAGTCGTGAAGAGAATGGCTCTTTTAGGGTTACATTTTTGGACATAATGTCCCGTCGTAATCAAACCCTACTCAACATTTTGACTGAATGTGTTCGATACACACTTATGCCCAAAGAACTTAGCACACACAATGATACTGCAGCCATTCTCCAGGAGCTAAGCTTAGTTGCAGAAGCTGAACACATCTCACCTTCTCAATGATCCTCTCTTTGATCTCGTCTACGTCCCTGTTGAAAGCGTGTACCTCCAGAGCCCCAGCCAGTTTCGTACGATAGTCGGCTAGACCTTCTTGCATCTGCTGCCAACTAAAACCACCATGCATTTTGAACATTTTAGACAATATCCCTGAAGGCCTGATTTGACTCGTGACAGACTTGCAATTGACTGCCCATTCACTTACGACTGACCGGAACACAACTGTGTACAAAAATGTCATATCTTGAGAACAAGTAAAATTGCACAGTGCAAAAACTACACTGCAATTAAGAAGTTTCTGCAAAGTATTGGTGACGAGTGGTAACTTTCTCCTATGCACCATAAGAAAGGGCCCTTCATCGGAACTCAGCCGTGCACATTGCTTGGGCTTCGTTTCTCACTGAAACAATGCCAGTACCAAATACGTGTAGCCAGACTCCAGTTTTTCAGCGTCATTAAGTACAGTTCCATATTTTTTGTAGTAAAAGAAAAATCACACTAAAGCTGGAGTTTACAATGTGGGGGACCGACTTGGAGCTGGAGGCCAAAGTGTGAGAGTGAAGCTGAGATTTCAGAGTGGGCCAAGATTCCGCGCCCACACTTACCTCATGGTGATGCTGTCTCGTCTCTCTTTGATGACAGTGCCTTCCCCCGCAGCCTGCGCCTGGTGGATCAGCTTCTCTCCCACTAGGCTGAGCTGCTTGACGACCGACTCATCCACTGACATATCCTGCCAAAGATTCCCAGAGCGATCCAATCATAGCCATGGAAATGCTAGGGGCAGGCCCTAGATTCTGAATCGCTGCATGCTTAACAATTGAGGAAAGTTTACAGGACCTAGGAGTATGCCCTGGTACTTCTGACTTAGACAATTGTTATGTGCAATTTAAGATATGGGCGTGAAATCCGTCAGCACTTTGTGGCTAATTTTGTAGTATTTATGGCCTGCATTTTTGAAGACTTCCCCTTAAAATGACAGAGTAAGATGAAAGACATGTTTTGAAGGCCACAGCTTCGGGGCATGCCTGGCAACCATGCAAAAGCACTAAAGAATTTGTGCTCATTCAAATAAAAACAGATCATTGTACCTGGCATGCACCCGCTCTCACGAGAAGGCCACATTGCTATCTATTGAACCTACATCAAGTCCAATGTACTTTTGAGAAGGCAGACTGTTCTAGGACCAACTACGACGGTGGACCTAACACTACTTAAAACAGACCAAACTCACTTGTTAGTAGTTTAACCCTCCTTTAGTTTTACAGCACAAATATGCACAAGTGCCCAAGGTCACTCTCTTGCATGTTGGTACAGTGCACAACACGACACAGCTGTGCTACTTTGAGGTGTTTACCAAGTGACCCACAGAGCGACTTCAGCATAGGAGGGTTAATACAATGTACAACAAAATATTCACAGAGGTGGGGGGGGAAAGGAGAGAAAATGTGCAAAAAAGGACTCACAGCTCCTAGATCATCTAGTTTCTTCTGCAGCTCAAAGCAATGCTCGTAGTCTCTCCCACAGTCACTGGCAAGCACCATCAACTCCTGTACAAGAACATTCAATCGAATCAGAGAATTCTCAGTGTTGCAGCATAGTCTCAACCACAGACTCACAAATGATCAAATGTAAACCTGCAACGGATCACATCAGTCTGCATGACAAAACTGCATGTTGTTGCCACTTGGCACAGATTTGGCCTTTGGAAAAAGCAAACTATTCTGTTCTGCACAGGCTATACACCAGTTGAAAACAAAATCCTGCAGCGGACTAGAAAAACCTTCAGAAAGCAGAAATTCAAACAGAAATGACACTGAATACCAAGTTAATTTGATTTGGTTAGTTACAGTAGTCTAAACATGACTGTATCTAAAACACAATCTCTATAAGTTTCATTTAGACTTAAAATATTGATAGGACGATTGCCCAAACAAAATTAAATTCTTTTGAGCATTCAGTGGATAGTATTACTTTGGCTGAAAAAAGCAAGATGCAGTTCCAAACATTTGACATAGTGTCACTACAAGTACTGACTCATTAGTATCATTTGAACAACATCTGTGAGTTATTTCCTACCCCAATCTCACCCTGAGCTTTGGGGACATTTTTGAAGCTCCTAAGATTCTTACACCAATCTCACTAACACTCCAGGGTGCCACCTTGCCGCAATAATTGCTACAACAGGTCATGTACAGCGGTCTACTTCAAGTTCCGTGCATCAGTCCAGCCCAGTCTGAGAACAGACTTCTCAGACTGTGTGTGTGCGCACAAAACAAATGGGGGATTAGCATGTACACAAGACCACCAACTCAGGTCACATGTGGCAGTGTAACGCGTCAGGTGACCCTAAGTATGCAGACTGCCAGATGGTGTTTACCCATCCTCCGGTGTGAACTGGTTTAGCACTAGTAACCTCTGGATAATGTTTCATCTTGGCACCTGTTTTAAGGACCTGAACACAAACGTTACAATTTTCCCTGCCTCCAGATCCATCCTACCTTTTCCTTGATCCACGACTCCACCTTCTCGGCTTGGCGGTTGAACTCCAGCAGGTCCTTGACTTCGTCTAGCTGCTGGCTGCGTCTGGCTGAGGCCCGGCGCAGCGCCTCCCAGTGGTCAAGCAGCTCCTTCAGGTCATGCTGGATGTCACTGGAGTCTGGGTGGTGCTCTGCTATGACCAAGTCCCCGGCCTAGCCAACAGGGAAAAAGCAATATTGTATGAATTGGCTATGGCTGAAAATCAAACACAAAGTTATGGAAGCCAGCTGCTGGAGGCTTCATGCCTTTGCCCTTCAGGCTCTCCATAGGAGGCAGTGGGTTTTTTTGGGGGGGGAGGGCACAGCAAAGGAATTTGGATATAGCCTGAGCGGCACTCGAATGACTGGGTTATGGCTGAGAGCAATTCGTATTCTCTGGAAAGCAGCCGCAGCCACTAGTGAATGACTTCCAATGGCTTGCATGATTTCTAGCCACAGTCTTTTTTTATAGATATAGGCACAGATGGCTCAACACATTCAATGGCTGATGTCTTAGCTCTGTAACTTCCACTGTGGTGATCTTTCATGGGTTGGCCCGCTGGTGCAGTGGTCTAACACTGTGTGCCTGCCATTCAAGTCTCTATCACAATACAAAAGTGAAGACTTACAAACCAACCTTCCTGCTCAAGTAATTGATTCTAAATGATATGCCATGCATGTGCTTGCAAAGTAGAGACTGTTGACGTATTTCATTTTTGCTAAACACTTCTACACTTAATCTGCACCCAAAGTCTTTGCTTGTGGCAAAAAGGATAAGAAATTTTTGGAAGAGAACACGTACAGTATGCTGTATGTTCCAAAAAAGCTGGCCATATAAAAGGTTACAAATCCAAGAAAACAAACAAGAAACAGAACAGGTGTACAAAATAAAACAGAGAAGAATGATCTTTTGTACTGTAGGTGCCAAAACCAAAATGCAATACAGAATAGGAAAAACTTGAATTTAGGACTTTTTCTAATCATTTCAGCTACAGTTGCGTATTTTGATTTTGGGGGTTACCTTTTTAACCTCAGCAATGAGCTTCTCATTTGCCGCAATCTCAGCTTCAAATGCCTGATGCTTCTGGAGTTTCTTCATCTTCTCCTGCAAGTTGCTCATGTCCTGCAGGGACCTGCAGTCTTCCACCAGGATCTTGTGTTTCTCATCAACCCAAGTGTCGGCCTGTGGAAGGCAAAAAGTTCAAATAAATTACAATGTTTACTGAAATTAACAATCTGCTACAAGAAGCTTGTGCTTCTTACTGACCCAAGAGTCAGCCTGTGGAAGGCAACAGTACAAAAATAACTACTTACTGAGATTCACTATCCTCCCAAGGAGGTTGTGGTTATTTCCAGTCTATCCATGGAAGGCAAATGGTACAAATATTAACCCTGTTTATTGCAGGTTACAAGAATCTTGCATTTGTCCAAGAGTTAACCAAAAGTATGGAATGCAAATGGTCCAAAATTATTATGCTTATCAAGATTTGCAGTAAACCAAAAGCTCTGTGCTAAAGAGTATACTTGATTGAGAGATGCACAAATTATTTCACTGATCTGTTGTTTTCCTAATGGATTATGGCGGGGTGTTGGTCAAAGTATGGACTAATAAAGCCTGAGGGTTCAAGGTCACTACAAACTAAGCCTCTTAACTAACCTCAGCCAGATCTCGTTTAAACTGTGCATACATCTTAGCAGTGGTTAGACTTTGCTTCCTCTGTCCGCTGATCTCCTTCACCTTAGCACGTCTAATCAAAGGAAAAAAAATGAATCATAAAATGCCTTCTACGAACAAACAGATTCCTCCCCCACAGTTGTGTGGGTCGAGTCTACTCGAGAATACCTACCCAAACAGTCACTACATATGCAAACTTCCCACGCGCATATAGCTATTCGCTAAAAAGACTTGATCATCCGTGGTGCCCCCTTGACCTCCCACTATGCACTGCGGTCATGCCACCATGTTTGTCCTTCTTTTCGAAAGCGACTAGAATGTCGTAGCCAAGTGCGGAGGACAGGTGGGAGAGGACTGTTTGGGTAGGTATTCTCTAGTAGACTCGACCCACACTACTGTGGGGGAGGAGTCTATGGCGCTCTACCTACCCAAACAGTCACTACATAATGCAGAGTGGCACTCATCTAGGTGGTGGGATGGCTACAGAATACGCAAAGACACAAAAGGGATAATTGGCCATCTATCAACAAGATAGGAATATGCCCCGTCACGATTCCCAGCCAGATATGGATTCAGTATTAGGAAAAAAACATTAGAAAGGTCACATGAGGAAGGAAATACCTGGAGTCATGTGTTATCTAAGGAATGGGAGTCGATGGTGGGGCACATGAGGTAACTGTGACACCAGACAGTTGCTTGGTATGATTGAAAACTGCAGTTCTGAGTTTTACAGAAGAAGAAAAGAATCGGTTATTTATTGGTGTTTGAATATTGAACCACTACAATGTACACTCTTCACCATGCCTTGAATAGTGGGGAACTAGTCAGACTTCAGGGTTATGAACGTCTAAACAACATGAAAAGAACATGTCTTTCCGGGCAACAGGATTGGCGGGAGTAAAGGTTAACAGAGAGGGGCATGTAAGCCTTACACGCCCTACAACTCTACCCTGTTGGAAGAAGAAGAGTTGTCTGCGACTAAGACCTGAAGGCGAGGGGGTCTGGCGCAAGACAACAGCAGCTAGATGTTCCATGTGAAGGAAGGGACAGTAATGCGCAGAGTCGGTCATCTGGTACAAAGGAACTGACTCCATCACATTGTGATGTAGTGTCTATTCTACTGCGTGAATCTTTCTCTGAGAGCAAGCATATGTATTTATTGAAGGAGTTGTTGGCTTCAAGATGTGGATTACCTTCGGGTTAATCTCAAAGTCCAATTTTCATAAGAACAACTGTCTTTTGAGGAGGCCAAGGCATAGGGAGAACGTCCCTCCGTAGTGATTTATCTGGCGTAGGGAGAGCGTACCACTGTAGTGATTTGGCGAGAATGTGATAACCAACGTACTCCTGTCCCTGAAATCTGAAAGTTCGGACATAGGAGTAAGCCATAGAATTCGGGAAGTACCACTAGAAACCAGAAGTCGAGAGCCTGTCCATGGGATTTTCGTGAGAGGACTGGAATGAGAATCAGACAATTCGAGTCCCAGAAAGCTTTGGTTGGATCCGACAGAGGTTGAGCTACTGTAAGAGGAAACCTGTGTACAAGCAATAACAACATGCGTCAACAGAGATTGGAATTCAATGCGTTCGGCCGAACAAGCAGGCAGACATGAATCCAAGAGGGTAGCGAACGAGCAGACACAGTCTGCTAGAACCTTACTACTGTAGTAGGTAGTAAACCTACAAGATCAACCACTNATAACTGGCCATCCATCATCAAGATAGGAATATGCCCCATCACGATTCCCAGCCAGATATGGATTCAGTATTAGGAAAAAAACATTAGAAAGGACACACCAGGAAGGAAATACCTGGAGTCATGTGTTATCTAAGGAATGGGAGTCGATGGTGGAGCACATTAGGTAACTGTGACACCAGACAGTTGCTTGGTATGATTGAAAACTGCAGTTCCGAGTTTCACAGAAGAAGAAAAGAATCGGTTACTTATTGGTGTTTGAATAGTGAACCACTACAATGTACACTCTTCACCATGCCTTGAATAGGAAAGTCAGACTGCAGGGTTAGGAAGGTCTGAACGACATGAACAGAACATGTCTTTCCTGGCAAATTCTAACAGGATTGCCGGGAGTAAGGTTAACAGAGAGGGGCATGTAAGCATGACACGCCCTTCAACTCTACCCTGTTGGAAGAAGAAGAAAAGGGTTGTCTGTGACTGAGACCTGAAGGCGAGAAGGTCTGGCGCAAGACAACAGCAGCTAGATGTTCCATGTGAAGGAAGGGACAGCAATGCGCAGAGTCGGTTGTCTGGTACCTAAGGAACTGACTCCATCACGTTGTGATGTAGTGTCTATTTTACTGCGTGAATCTTTCTCTGAGAGCAAGCATATGTATTTATTAAAGGAGTTGTTGGCTTCAAGATGTGGATTACCTTCGGGTTAATCTCAAAGTCCAATTTTCATAAGAACAACTGTCTTTTGAGGAGGCCAAGGCATAGGGAGAACGTCCCTCCGTAGTGATTTATCTGGCGTAGGGAGAGCGTACCACTGTAGTGATTTAGCAAGAATGTAATAACCAACGTACTCCTGTCCCTGAAATCTGAAAGTTCCGACATAGGAGTAAGCAATGGAATTCGGGATGCGGCACTAGAAACCAAAAGTCGAGAGCCCGTCCATGGGATTTTCGTGAGAGGACTAGAATGGGAATCAGACAATTCAAGTCCCAGAAAGCCTTGGTTGAATCAGACAGAGGTTGAGCTACTTTAAGAGGAAACCTATGTACATGCAATAACTACATGCGTCAACAGAGATTGGAATTCAATGCGTTCGGCCGAACAATCAGGCAGACATGAATCCAAGAGGGTAGCGAACGAGCAGACACAGTCTGCTAGAACCTTACTACTGTAGCAGGTAGTAAACCTACAAGATCAACCACCGAAGGTACCTGAGAAGTAAGTAGCCCTTAGCATCAGATATAGGGAACAGGGCAGCATCGATGTTCCCTTTTGGTCCGTGTCTCCCTGCGTTGCCTGTGAATATTGTGGAGAGGACAGAGCAGAATTTGGTCATTGTGTGGAATCGGAGAGGGAACAAGAACTGTGGTACTGCTTGTTCCCCAAATCCTTCATGACCACTGGTTAATTTGCGAAAGGGCTGGCTTACACTCATCCCTGAACAAAGGTTTTATAGGTAAGTGTAAATAGAGGTGACATTTCTTTTTTGAAACCCCAAATACAACTGTTGTGTGGGCTGGATAAGGACTACCTCATCTTTATCAGGCAAGGAATTGATGCCTGAAGACTAGTTAAGAGGGGCCGATGATGTCACTGTATTGAAGGACTTTGGGCATTTAAACAGCATAAATGGGAGATTAAAGTCAGACTGCATAAATCCGAAAGGATGAAAAGTTGGGAGTCATAAATGGAGCGTCCATGCGAAAACTTAAAATCATTAATAGAACTGCATGATGGAAATACAGTGATCGTATTTCACATTCAGAATCAGAAAAAGTGCGGACATACATGTAAGTACCCCTTCGAAAGTCCAAATCAATTTTATTTCAATGAATACAGATTGTTCATCGAATATCGAGAATATACCAGTCAAGTAGAGCTCTTCATTTTGATCACACGGGGGTGTAATCAGAAGAGATAACACAAGATATAACTGCGTCAAAATTTGGGGCTGATGGTAGACCCACTTCTGTTGGACCTTGTAACAGTCACAGTAACTCATCTGAACACACCCATAAGGGGAGAACTCATAGCAGACATAGTACACATGTATAAAGTTTTGGACACGCCCTAATTGGAAGATCTCGCATTCGGGCAGTGAACCGGACACAGCGAGGCCGTGTGAAAGATTTGTGGAGAAAGCATGGTAGGTCAAAGTGGTTATAAGTGTGCGAACGTACATGTAGTACGAGAAAGCCCCCTGGAAAAGTGCATCATTACAGGATAATAAGACGCATGAAGAATCAACGACGGTGCAAAGCTCGGTGAATTCAAACACCTGAGGCGCAGACATGGACAGGAGAAATGCAGCAATGGGTCCACATGCAAATGGTGTCATCATCAAGGCATGGCCACAAATGGAGCAGGTTGCCCATGGATCACTGTCAGGCGTATGGCAATGGGGGGGGTGTCATTCATTAATTATTTACTACATAACTGTCAATAACAATATGTCATGAATAAACACAGAAATGCAGATGGTGGGTCCCAAGAAGCAAAGGCTTGTCAAGCAGGATCCTCCAGTATATTAATTAACTCATAGCACACCTAATACATAGATCTGCGAGCAAAGTGCAGAATCATCTCCGGCAGGCCTCCAAGAACAGGCCCCGGAATTGGGAAGGTTGTATCCGGTAGACTGCATGTACATAGTCATTGTTTCTCAAAGAATGGCTGATTCAAGTCTAGTCAAGGGTGTAGGGTGGAATGTGCACGACTGAACAACATACAGTGTATAGAAACCTCGGCGGCAGAGCAGACCTGTTACCTACGCTGTGGTCTGCATTGTGCCTGCATAAACCGTATTGCGTCCACCGGAGTCATGCCAACTAACGCAGGGGGTGGCCCTGTAACATGTACTATCTACCCATACCTAGTATGCCCAAACGAAGGGTGACTGAAATCAGCAGTTCGAGACGTTGGGGCACTCAGTTAGGCTAGCCCATGAGCGGCGTGGGGTCTTCCCACCGCCAGCCTTGTCAGACATGCGGCATGAATAGAGAGGCAGGGGGACCAAAGGGGTAGAATTAGTCTTCCCAGAAGGTAGTTGGAAATCAGGGTGTAGAGAGTTCGGAGGCCCCAACCGCGCAAAAGGCCGGTGGGCTCTGTGGCCCGGTATTGCCTCTATAAGGGCTGTCCCGGAAAGAACGGGACGTAGACCCAAGAGGGATCAGCATCACTGTCATGCCCGGATATTGAAATTGAAAGGGGAAAATCACCGACAAAGTTGATGTCATGTTTTGGCGACCCGGTCTGTTGCTTGAACTGAAGCACAGCTGTGTCAGAGTGGGATCTATGGATGCTCCCGTACGAAGCAGAATGTTCCTCGTAGTCGTCTGTAACTGCAGAACGGGCTAAGGCTGCAGGAACCGGGAGAGGTAGGTAGGTCCGGGTCCGGAGTGGTAGAAGCCAGTATGGGTTTGTCACTCAGGCAGGCAGCAGACAAGGAAGGACAGAGATTCATTAATAGACCGGAACGCTGTCATCCATGGTTCAGGGGAGTGTTCCCGTTGCTTGGAATGACATCTCTTCTCAGTTTGAAGAAACCGATGAAGAAGAAGACCGTTTGCCCTCGAGTCTGGAATGCGGGGGTGAATTAGCAGCTAATGCGGTGGGTGAGGTCAGAGGCTCATCCCCTGGGGGGTAGGCAGGAACTTGGCTGGTACGGACACCATCTTCTTGGAGGAAGGTCCCAGTTTCCCGGGAATACCAAGCTGAAAGCCAGAGCTGCGGATGGGTTGTGGAGGTCAGAAGCCACGGCGGCATAGTGGCCCGGTAGGCTCCACGGTGCCCAGCAAGTTCTTGTTGGGTGTTCCGGTACCGTGGGCCGAGGAATCATCAGGCAGGCCTGACCCGGTCGAACGTGGGTGGAACGTGAGGCCAACTAGATGTCTGGTCGGCCGATGCTACTGAGGATGCGGCCTTGTGTGCTGCAGAGCTACTACGGCTGGTAGTTGTTGCAGGCGGCGGGGGTAGGGGAGAGAGGAGCCCATTGGCCTGCTGGCTTTTCTGATCCATACGTGGTCAATCAGCCGACTTGTTGCATCTTAGCCAGTCGGTGGAGACTAGGTTGTCTGTTGGACGGCGGAGAGATAGAATGGTCATAAGTCAAGAATGTCCCGGGGGCAATTCTGACTACCAGAGAATCCAGAGTCGCGGTTAAGGCCGAAGTCCTCGTCTGAGGCAATTAGGATACGGATCGCCCACTTATGCGGCTTGGCCTTGCCCTCATTCCGTAAGAGACCAGAGCTCATGCGAACAACGCGGGCTCGATGTAGCTGCATCAGTCTGCTCCGTGCATGACTGTCGAGCAGGAGGCACATCCCATTAGGGACCCCCCCACTCGCGGCTAAGGCCTATGTCCTCGTCAGAGCCACATATGTGAGTGAATCACTCATGCAGCTAGGCCTTGTCCCCGTCCTACCACTTTATTGGGAATCGCCCACTCAAGTGGTTCGGGCTTAATCCACAACGACCGCTTAAATAAGGGAGCGCCCATTCAAGCGGTAAAAAGGGAAAACCGCTAAAAATGACAATCTGCCCTCTCATGCAGCTAGGGTTGTGTGGATTATATGGGCCGCTAACGTGTGAATGCGCCCACTCAAACGGCAAGGCCTATGAGGAGTGTAGGGTTGACCGTTCCTTGTAACACTGACAGTAAACACCTACAGAATGCACATACAGAAAAAGAAAGAAAAGGGCACCGAAAACAAGGAAAAAGCACTCTCATCAACAAAATTAAAATCACACAAGGTAAAAGTTTATTCAGGAAATACGACCGGATGACTCAAGTCAACACAGAACTGTGTCGTGAAAACGGAAACTTGAAAAACTCGGAGATGTCTAAAAGACATGTCCGTTGCGATACGGCACTGAGAAAAGAAAGAATAAACATGGCAGTATGACCGCAGTGCATAGTGGGAGGTCAAAGGGCACCATGGATGATTAAGTCTTTTCTGCGAATAGCTATACGCGCATGGGAAATTTGCATATGTAGTGACTGTTGGGTAGGTAGAGCGCCGTAGACCTAAAAATTACGTGCATTATAGAGAATTCGTAACTCAAGACATGTTAGCCATTCCTGTTGGCTGAGAGACTGTAACATGTGTGGGGCTTAATAACATAACAAAACTGCTAATCTATATGGACTCTCATCCATTTCCACCACCTCAACAATGTGTAGGAGTATAACGTGATTTTTTTCTCTCTCTGCATTTTTTCAGCCGTCTCACAGCTTTGGCCAGCTTCAATGAAAAAAACAAACAAAAGCACCCATCCCCTTCAAAGAATGAAATTAACAAAACTGCTCTGTTTGTATACTTGGACAAGATAACCGTGAATACCTTTGCAGCACTTCGCTGAATTTGTTCCTGATTGCTGGCGCATCAAAATGGTCTTGGGCAATCAGTTTGTGAGCAAACTCCCCTAAAGCTGTTCCCTGTACACACAAAATTAATGTGGATGCTGTAGAGGGTAGTAATAGCATTTGGAATGATTATGAACTATGCATGCTAAGCCTTAAACAGGACGGATTATTTGAATGAAATGTTGAACCTTTCCTTCAAAGCAAGGATCCTGTGGCAAATCAAATCAAGTCAGAGAAGGACAACAGTTTAACGGTCTAACCCTAACCCCCTCGGGTGTATGTAAAATCATATTGAAATCGGAGGATTTGGGACTGTTAGGGCTAATGAGCAACTCATTTTCTAAAACCTCGGGTGAGCTGTGGAATGGGGTGTAAATGAAGCCACATGCAGAGGAGAAAGCAACAGGGTGCTATGTTTTGCTTGTATTGCTCAAAACTATATAATATTCAACTGTAACAAGTTTTTTATCACTCCTGAAATTAAAATAAAGCAGGGCACAAAGGGATAGCAATTGCCCACACCAGATGAATTTATTGCAAGGCTTATATAAACATTTCAGAAGACTAATTACTACACCTAAATAAATACACATGTTGTTGACAGAATTCAACCCTATTTATGACAAAGGCAGTCAAACTCAGAAGGTGAAAGCAATGAATGTATCCTCCATAATTCAGTCAAAGAAGCCATTCCTCTCCCATTATTCAGCCTTTTTATCCCTACCTTTTCTTCCTGAGCGGCCAAGAGCTTCTCCAAGTCTTCATGTTTCTTAACGAGGGCGTCTACCTCCTCTACGGTGGCTGCTAGCCCAGCGCCGGCCAGATAAGCCTAGGGAGAATCAGTGATTGGAGTGAAACATCAGTGACTTAAATGGGCAAAATGCTCAACCATGAATCAACTCTTTCAGCTCAATGACAAGATCACCGACACTTCAAGAAGCTGTACTTTTTAAAAAACATCCTACAGTTACAACAAGAAGAGAGAAAGGGAAGCCAGGTTAAGATCCACTACCTCAAGATCTTGGCTGCCCCATGCGAGATTGTTGAAAACCAAAGGCATTAATGCAAAGATATTCCTTATGAGTACATCTGTGAAGAAGTAATTCATCTTACAGCCATTTACAGTTCATGTCTTAACCACTTGCTGCCGGTTGCTTTTTTTAACCGTTATATGTGCTGCCGGGCCGTTTTTTCATATTTTCGTTTTTCAAAAATTCATATCTTTTTTTTCTGAACGCCTAAACCCCATAAAATGGGTGTCCCGTGGCGAGTCTAGCCCTCACAAGCAACCTCCATTGACCCTTCGGTTTTGCGGCCACGCCGCCCGCTCTGTATAGAGCCCCCATTGTGTAGTGTTACACAAGGGCTCGTTTGTTCCGGGCCTTGGCCCAATGTGTTGCTATGCTGCCCTGTTGCTATGCGGAGCGATTGACGGTCTAGACCTCAGCGTGTAACATGCGGTGAGTGAATGGGAAGCTGTGCACGTGCACTGGGCTTGAGTGAATGGGAAGCTGTGCACGTGCACTGGGCTTTGTCAACTGTTCAATGAGTGCGGGCAATGACGGACAAATGAATTCATGCTGTAAAAAAAGGGGTCTAAAAGTGTGGGTTTTTTTGTGGCGCTGCTGCATGTAACTTTTGCTATTTTTTGAAGCTATTGGGTTTTTTTTCTCTGTTATATATTTTCCCATCTACCAAACTTATATCCCCCCCAAACCACTCTCATATTTTATCCCCCAGCTTGTTCATTTTCCCTCCCATAGTGTACGTTTTAGCTCAAAATGGATATTTCCCTTCCCAAAGTTTATTTCACCTACAATTTTTAGTAAAATTTAGAAACCAATAAAATAAAGTACACATAGAAATACACACAGACAAATATTTGGAGAGAATTTCTTTTTCTCTTATTTTCTTCTTGTCATTTCTCTTGTGTTTTCTTTTCATTTCTCATTGAAATAGTTTGACTCATAAAAGTAGTAAAATAAATTTCCACTCTTTCTTATCAAATAAAAAGCAAAACTCATGAAAAAGGCAAGAATGAGCAAACTCCTAACACCAATGCAAGGAATGAAAAGGATGAAAATACAACAACCTCAAAGCAGTACTTTCCAGAAACTTTGTCTTTTTGTCATTTTTTTCAAAGGTTGAAAACATGACCCATTAGTAAAACCATTACAAGGAAATGTGCCACTTTTTCAAGAGATGAAAATACAACATACTCAAAGCAGTACTTTCCAGAAACTTTGTCTTTTT